CCTCCGCAACCCCGCCTTTGCCTCTGAAAATCGACGGTGCTGAGGGGGACCCCACGGCAGGGTCCGCGGACCTGGCCGAGGACCAGTACTTCGTGCCGAAGGGCGCGCAGGACATCTTCTCGGTCCCGTACCCCTTCTCCTCGCCGCTCCACCTGCAGCTGGCCCCCCGCTCCTGCGGGGACGGCTCCCCCTGGCAGCCGCCCGCCGACCTGTCGGGACTGTCCATCGAGGAGGTGTCCAAGTCCTTGCGGTTCATCGGGTTGTCGGAAGACGTCATCTCCTTCTTCGTGACCGAGAAGATTGACGGGAATTTGCTCGTGCAGCTGACAGAGGAAATCCTCTCGGAGGATTTCAGACTGAGCAAACTGCAGGTGAAGAAGATCATGCAGTTCATCAACGGCTGGAGGCCCAAGATATAGCCCCGTCCCCCCGCCAGCATCGCACGGACCGGGAACACGTGCTAGGGGCGGGGCTGGGACGCGAGCTCATGTTTTCTTTTGCACTAAAAACATTCTCTGTAAATAGGGGTAAGAGAAGCCCTCACCAGACAGATCACGTTTTTGAACGGTGAACAGGCTATTTTGTACATCCATAAAAACGCTGTACAGAACACTCAGAGGTGCCTTGTACGTCACTCAACACTCAGCAGCTGCTAAAGGACAACAGGCAAGTCCCGAGTCGGATTCTCACCCAAGCAGGGTGATGCGAGGCGGGATGGTATTTATTACAGAATAGCCAAAGCGGAAGAGACTCGAGGATCTCTAAGAAACAAAACAAACCTACAGTTTTGGACAACAGTCCCTTCCTGGGTGGGGGAAGATCTCTTGTAGTGAGCGCTATCCTGCGCTCTGTTTGGGGTACTCGGTGCGAACTGTCTTACTCTCGTGCCTGGAATGTTAGTGATATGAAATGACACTGGAATGTGAGGTGCTCGGTGGGGGGTCTGTGCATCGAAAGGCATTTTCCAAAAGTCGTGTGTGGATGGAAGGCACAGGACGTCCTTAGAAATCGTACAAACCATGACCACGGTCATTCATCCGTAACTGCTGCTAATTTTATTGAGCAGAAGAAGAAAACAAAAACAACAACACAGAATAGATCCAATATGTGTGTAAATGTCTACGCAATACATATGTGTATGTTTTAAACCTCATTGTGAGTCTGATGTTTTTGCAGCGGTTCTCAACCTGTGGGTCACGACCCCTGAAAATACATCCTGCATATCAGATATTTACATGACGATTCCTAACAGTAGCAAAAATTACAGTGATGAAGTAGCCACGAAGATAATTTTATGGTTGGGGGTCACCACAACATGAGGGACTGTATTTAAAGGGTCGCGGCATTAGGAAGGTTGAGAACCACTGGACGTCTGTTCGCTTCCACGTGCCCACTGAGGTTCGGGGGGGGCCGCTGGCTGGGTTGACTCTCCTAGGAGGCGTGGACAGACGCCCCAGATGTGCTGGGAGCCCGCCCCTCGAAGCTGGGGCTCAGCGGGGCTTCCCCACGGAAGGCGTGGGGGAGAGAGCAGGACAGAGTCTGTGCTGGGA